GAGAATGGTTAAAAAGCAAACATCCTCACACATGGGAAACCCATGCACATCCTAATGAAAGAGGATGACAGTTCCAAAGCACTATGAAACACTAAGTTAACTAAAAGACCAAGGCTATATTTGAAATTAAGAATAGGACATTTTCTTTAGTACAGAAAAATGAGTTATTTACACAACTTCTATGAAGTTCCAGTTTTTAAAACAGAAGTTTCAGGGGACAGCGCTGTGGCGCATCAGGTTAAAGCCCCGGCCTGAAGCGCCGACATCCCATATGGATACCGGTTCTAGACCCGACTGCTCCTCTTCTGATCCAGCTCTCTGCTATGGCCTGGGATAGCAGTAGAGAATGGCCCAAGTCCTTGAGCCCCTGCACTCACGAGGGAGACCTGGAAGAAGCTCGTGGCTCCTGGCTTCAGATTGATGCAGCTCCGGCCATTGTGGCCATCTGGGGAGTGAACCAGTGGATGGAAGACCTCTCTCTCTCTAACTCTCTCTGTAACTCTGTCTTCCAAATAAATAAATCTTTAAAAAATGAAATAGAAGTTTTATATATATTTTTCTTTTACATACAAAATCTATTTTACATATTGTTAAATACACAATAAAGCATTTTCCAAAATGTACTACAATCTCATGAGAACATTTGATTTTTCTTATCTGAGGGAGTATATCATTAATTATCTCTTAACAGCAGTATCCCATACACATGACAAAATGCTCAGGATCACATGCCATCAGGGAAATGCAAATCAAAACCATAATGAGGTTTCACCCCACCCAGTTAGAATGGCTGTCATACAGAAATCAACAAATAATAAATGCTGGCAAGAAATCGGGGAAAAATGTACCCTAATCCACTGCAGGTGGGAATGTAAACTAGCACAGCCTTTATGCCTTTGTGGAAGACAGTATGGAACCTCAGAAAGCTGAAAATAGATCTACCATACAACCCAGCAATCCCACTCCTTGGAATTTACCCAAAAGAAATGAAATCAGCCTATGAAAGAGTTATCTGCATCCCCATGCTTACTGCAGTTCAATTCACAACAACTAAAACATGGAATCAACCCAGATGTCCATCAACTGATGATTTATACACACACACACACACACACGTATATATCATGTGGAATGCTTCTCAGCCATAACAGAAAGAATGAAATCCTGTCTTTTGCAACAAAAATGGATACAACTGGAAACCATTATATTTAGTTAAATAAGCCAGTCTCAAAAAGACAGATACCATATGTTTTGCCTGATCTGTGATAACTAGTAGAGTACAAAAAATGTAATGTATAGCAGTGAAATTGACATTTTGAGATTCAATGATTGTTTACAGCCTTTGCCTCCATTGTATGAATTAAGATATGGAAGAGGAGAGGAAAGAGGAGGAAGAAGGGTAGAAGCATGGGCAGGTAGGAGAGTAGGGTGGGAAGTATCATTATGTTCCTAAATCTGTACATATGAAATACATGAAATTTGCTTATCTTAAAAAGTCCAAAAAAATCAATAAACAATTTAAAAGTTGAATCTTCTGACACTTTCAAAGTTATAGCCTTTCGTCCCCAATAATAAAATATTAATGTTGTCATTTTTAAAAATATTTTAGTGGCTGGCCTTGTGGCATGAGTAATTAAAGCCATCATCTGTAATGCTGGCATCCCATTTGGATTCCAGTTTGTGTCCTGGCTGCAACACTTCCAGCACAGCTCCCTGCTAATGGCCTGGGAAAAGCATCAGAAGATGATCCAAGTGATTGGGCCCCAGCCAACCACATGGGAGATCCACATGAAGTTTCCGACTCCTGACATTGACCTAGCCCAATGCTGGTCATTACAACCATCTGGAGCGTGAACCAGCAGAAGGAAGATCGATTCTCATTCTCTCTCTCTCTCTTTCTCTCTCTCTCCCCTATACCCCTAATTCTGATTTCAAAATAAATGAATGAATCTTTTAAAAATTATTGATATATTGATTTATTTTCACTCACAGCTTAATGATAAATGACATGTCTAATCACCAAGATTTAAGAGTTTTCAATGATAGCATACAGAGGTTTAATGGATTACTGCTATTATTACTACATATTTCAGATCTAAGAATTAACTGTGCAATAAATTTATTTGTTCATGATCCTAAAATATGCTATTTCCCATACAATTGGCAAATAACTGAATTAAGCCATAGATTAAAAATCACCATTTATTACAGCAATGGATGGGACTTCATCCCAACACTCCTTATGTATCTTCTACATTATCCTCTGCTTTACTCATAGTTGATAGTTAACAGTTACTTGCTTAAAGTGGATATATAAAACAAAGAAAGTAAATTTAAAGTGTGAAAGCTGGTGGGTCAGGGGCATCTTTAGAATAACTGGGCTACTGAATGCAAGTGGTAGCAAGGAAGACCACGGGTTGACAAAGGACAGAAGGCTCCAGGAATTTTAATGAAGGTAAAGGTCTTAATAGTTCATTCCCATTACTTGCTACAATTTGCCTTGTTATAAAGAGTTCATAAAATGTGAGCCAACAGCACAAATTCTGTGATTTTTATGCCTTGCTTCTATTATATATGTCATAACCTTGTGGTGGAGATAAAGTACATAGTAAATAAGTTTTAGGGCCTTTTTTTTAGCCAAATATGTGGTGTTTCAGAGGTCCAATGTTAAACATAGTCAACAAGATTTTTTTTCCCAATAGAAATATAAAATGAAGGTTAGAAGAACGCTGAGTTGAAGGAGATAAACATCAAGTCTGTTATAATAAAATCATTTTGAAAAGAATGTATAACATTGCAGTGAAATTTATGCTATGTAACAAAAATTAAAGGAAGTATCTCTACAACATTATACAGTTTTGTATTTTTTATTATTTGTATAAACATATCCAATCCAATTTCAAAGGCCCACTTTCACTGTGTTCCTGCGGCCTTGGGAGATGGAAGAAGGGTCTTCAAAAAGTTCATGGAAACTGTGTATTATGAACAAACCATGCTTGGATTTCAAGAATGTTTTGTGACAAAATTAATTTAACTATTAATTGCATTTTCCATGAACTTTTTGAAGTACTCTCATATTAGCCAGGGCATTTTTGTAATAAAAGGAAACAACCTTATCTAGTTTAACAGAGAAAAGGAGAAATCACTATAAAGTTATCTAGAGTTCCAGGTATTTCTAGAGGACCCAAATAGCTGGAACGCAATCAGTCTTCAGAAGCAGACTAGAACCTAGAAATGAGTGTTCCACATCTGCAGTTTGTCTTAAGTATTCTTTTGCTCTGCTCTTCATACGTATCTCAGTGTGTTGCCTCCATTCAGATGTGTGCACAGCTCTGTCTGACATTCAAACCACATGACAAATACGGCTGGGCTCTGGTACCCAAGGGACCATGGAAAGGACATTTGCAGAAACAGAACATTCTGTCACAATTTCAATTTTTTCTGGGAATGAATTCCAAACAGATCTAGCCTTTGTCCAATTCCCACATACCTGATCTATTGGTGGAAATCACATGGAAACCATACATCTATAAAAAGAATCTTAGATGTACATATAAAGAATGCATCATATGTGAAATTAGTATCTGCTATGTTTTATATAGTGTTTTATAGCATTTTATACTGTTTCCAACTTCATTTTTCTCCATTAGCATTCCTTTTTCTAAAATGCTACTTATTTTCTTGGCATATATCCTGTGCTAAGTGTTGTGGTCTTACATGTACTCTTGAAAGAATCTCCAAAAAAGTTTTCTGTTCTCTTAAGGCATTCCCAATCTAGGATACAGACAACTTCTACTACAAATATATCATAATTAAGTATCATAATTATTAACAAAGTTTTGACACATACTGGTAGAAACAGAGCTTTTTCAACCAAACAACTAAAAAGAAAATAAACTTTTAATATTTTAATTCTAATATGAGTCATTTGAAAAATGAATACACAATGTCTTTAATATTTTGAGGTATTCATTTATTGAGATTGATACTAACTCTAGAAATACTAATCACATTCTCAGTTTTAAAAATACATTTTTACCACTTAGCTGACTATAGAATTTATGAAATTATCATAATTCTCTCTATAATTTATAATTCACTAAACAGCTTATGATAGTAATATTTGGCATATATTCCTTTTGTTTTATAACAGATGCTCCTAAGAAGTTTGTAAATATTACTGGAAAAAATAAAATACATTTCAATAATGTAATTATTTAACTGTATCTTAAAAATTCTTTTATAAAAAATAAATTCATAGTTGTGTAAATACTACATCTTTACCTCAAAGTTCCTCTGAAGTTCAGATTTCCCTATACCTATTCCAATAAATCAATTTTTTTTAAAAAAGTAAGAATTAGCACTTACAGCTGGCCTAATCAGAAAAAGAATAGAGAGCTAAATGTTTCCAAAAGGATAGGCTACCTCTGGGTAACTTCATATACACACAAATACATTTATATGCATCCAAGTATCAGTGTATACTTAGGTAAGTACTTGTGATTTCCTATGAATCTACTCCAAATGAAGTACAGGTTTTCTGAAATAGATGCACTTATCATTATCATCACCATCATCATCATCATCCTCATCATCCTCATCATCCTCATTTTGGTTACAGCTTTATTTCCTTTTCGTAAAATGCAAGAGCCTGAAAAGTCCACAGGGGCAGAAAGCAGATGACTGGCCTAAGTCACCAATTCTGATTTGATTGGTCCCCTGGCTCTCCTACTCCTCAGACTGTCAGAGAAAAGACAGACCTGTGAATGGTTGTATGCACACCCTGACAGGTGTTTTTATCAATCTGAGGAAATTGCTCTAACTTTAGGGTGTCAATCATTGTAAGATTGTTATTCTTGTTGTTCACCTTATCTATTGCCTACAGTCATGGTTCCTGTCAGGCACAAGAGCATAGCTACTGGAACAAGTAAGCAGGTCTCTCTTTAAATATCATGACACCAACATCCACTCAAAAAGAAATAAGAGAGAAACAGCTTTACCCGCAGGAAGGACAGGTCCCGGTTGTGCTCAATGCTGGTTATCTCCAGGTTGCCCATGACCACCTCACAGTTTTCATAGTACTTGCGCAAGGCTCGGTACTGCTGTTCCAGGTCTGAGAGAGAGCTCAGTTTATTTTCTGTGCCTGCACACACTGCAAAGATAAGAAGAGAATATTAAGCCATATAATCTTAATATATCATGCACAGTAATAATATCTTTCTCAAGACTCACTATTCTACAAGTCTATCCCAATTCTCCGAATTAAAATCTTTGTATGTCTTAAGAGCAATAGGCTCACACATTGAAAACTACCTTCACTTTCATGTTTCTAAATTATATATGCTTATCACAGAGAGTAAGAAGACACAGATTCCACAGAAACATATAGCAAGGAGAAAAACTCAAAATAACATCATTTGCCGTAATCATACAAAGTATGTAAATGTATTTTATTTCACTTTAAGCATGATATTAATTATTTCTATTAGGATTATTCTAGAAATATAAATAAATTGAAATGTAAACACATAAATGAAAAATATAAATACATCAAAATGAAAAGATGAAAACAATACTATTTTTAAAATATCTTGCCTTATAAGCTATTCTAATTGAGTAGATTTATAACATAATTAGAATATAATTAGAATAGCTTATTTTATAAGAGGTAATAAATATAATTTGAAAATGAAGATTGCTTTCACCATCTTTTGATGGTCTATAAGACTTCAAAAACACCACAGTCTTAAAGTCAAAGCAAAACAAACAAGACTGAACTATTTATTCACACATATTACTGAGATATGGAGCAAATTATAACTTTTATTGATATCAACTGAATCATCTCTGTATAACCATGAGTATCTGAGGAATGATACCTTGATAATAAAAAATCTTAGCCTGCCATATTTGATGGGAGTTTGTGAATCTGTTCATATATGAGCACATGAAAGTATACATTTTTTCTGTGTTTTGCGTATAGGTATTTTTCTGTTTTCCACAAATCAGATTTTTATTTATTATTTTTATAGTGTACATAATCTTTAGCAAAACTTTTATTCAATATAAAACACTATATCATGAATATTGCAATACTAGTATGCAAAGATTGTAAATTAAGATTATTTGAGTAAGTTAAATAATACACACTGAATTTAAGGCAATATAAATGTATAAATTTCACAGACATGCAGAAGAGAGTTTAGTAATAAAATCAAGTGTTAGAGACAGAATTTACAAAAAAGCTATGATTCCTGATGTGTATTCAAGAGAACTGATTTGTATAGAGGAATGCAAAAAATCTTTATAAGGTTAAACAAATAATCAGTATCACATTAAAGCCTGCCATTGCCTAAGAATATACCAGGAAAAAAAATAACTTAATTTAAAAGCACTGAAGAACATTGTAGCTCATTAACCACAATGGAAATACATTATAAAAACAAAAACAGGGCCGGCGCCGCGGCTCACTAGGCTAATCCTCCACCTTGCAGCGCTGGCACACCGGGTTCTAGTCCCGGTCAGGGCGCCGGATTCTGTCCCGGTTGCCCCTCTTCCAGGCCAGCTCTCTGCTGTGGCCAGGGAGTGCAGTGGAGGATGGCCCAAGTCCTTGGGCCCTGCACCCCATGGGAGACCAGGATAAGTACCTGGCTCCTGGCTTCGGATCAGCGCAGTGTGCTAGCCGCGGCGGCCATTGGAGGGTGAACCAACGGCAAAAGGAAGACCTTTCTCTCTGTCTCTCTCTCTCACTGTCCACTCTGCCTGTCAAAAAAATAAAAAAAATAAAAAAAAAACAAAAACAAAACATACATCTGTACAGTCTATCTATCTAGAATTTATCAAAATGTATATTTTCTAGAAATACTCTTATAAATCAAATGATTTCCCCATCTAAGATATATAATAGAATATTTCATGAAGAATGTTAGGGAAACTTATGAAAGAATTTAGAGAAATAGAACTGGCCAAGTTAAAAAAAATCAAATCATATTTAACTGGAAAATATAGCTATTTAGATGAGTTTTTCATCACTTTGAAATTTTGAAACACAAATCATTTCCTGTAATTTCCCACAGTAGCATATTTTTATATTAAAAACATATGGGAACTGGTTAAATGGCTATTGCTTTGAACCACTTATTCTGGGGTACTTTGTTATGACAACTCCAGAAAAGCAACATAATCTTCAGACTATTTGTATCTGAAATCCACATAAAACAAATGTTAAAACAAAGACTTCCTTTCTCTCAGCTTATCACTTTCAAGCAACTCTTTTTCACTTCTGAGCTTCACTCCTGCTTCTCCCTCCTACTATGCTTCATTTTTTTGTTGCCTTTGAGAACACAGCTTTGTGGAGTGATAAGAAAGACACAAATGATCCACAATATTCAATTCTCTTTTCTTCCACAGCAGCAGACTGCATGATTTTTAAAAGGTCATGTCACACCCAAAATAAATATTTCATTTCTCTCCTCCTCTTGGAAATAAGTTGGCCAAGGGAGTAAGTTCTTACATGTTGTATGACACCTACTCAAACCTCTTTCCAGAAATGTACTTGGGGACTGATCATTACTTCACGCTTCCCTAGAGTTTGCCACAAGGAATGTAGACACCAGATGGATAAAACTTGAACTACCATCTTGAACCAAAGAACAAGTCATACAATGCAGAGATGGCTGAGAAGTGAGCTACAAGAGAACAACATTTTCAAAGGGTTGTCTTACATTGTCATATTACCACTAACATCAAGACAATGGTAGTATTGACAGTAACTGCTAAAATATTACACACAGGAAAAAGCAATTCTGGTTATGATATACGATCTTTTTTTTAAAGTTTTTTTATTTATTTGTTTGACAGAGTTACAGACAGTGAGAGGGAGACAGAGAGAAAGGTCTTCCATCAGATGGTTCACCCCCCAAATGGCCGCAACGGCTGGCGCTGTGCCAATCTGAAGCCAGGAGCCAGGCGCCTCCTCCCGGTCTCCCACGCGGATGCAGGGGCCCAAGCACCCAGGTCATCCTACACTGCCCTCCCAGGCCACAGCACAGAACTGGACTGGAAGAGGGGCAGCCAGGACTAGAACCTGGCACCCATATGGAATGCCGGCGCCACAGGCAGAGGATTAACCGAGTGAACCACGGTGCCAGCCCGTGAAATATGCTCTTTTTTTTAAATTTTTTTTTTTTTTGATAGGCAGAGTGGATAGTGAGAGAGAGAGACAGAGAGAAAGGTCTTCCTTTTGCCGTTGGTTCACCCTCCAATGGCTGCCACAGCCGGCGCACCGCGCTGATCCGATGGCAGGAGCCAGGTGCTTCTCCTGGTCTCCCATGGGGTTCAGGGCCCAAGCACTTGGGCCATCCTCCACTGCACTCCCTGGCCACAGCAGAGAGCTGGCCTGGAAGAGGGGCAACTGGGACGGAATCTGGCGCCTCAACCGGGACTAGAACCCAGTGTGCCGGCGCTGCAAGGTGGAGGATTAGCCTAGTGAGCCGCGGCGCCGGCAAATATGCTCTTGACCTTATGCAACTGTAACTATAATGACTGGTTGTTTGACTGAATACGTTCAATTCATAATCAAATTACATGATTATTCTTGATCATCTGAATATTTTACTGGTTCCGTAGAAGGTGACCATACTATTAAAACTAGTAAACAATCAGGGAAAACTACATTGCTGCAGATAACTACAATAATATTCCACATAAGCAAGAAAAAATTGATTCACATAAATGTTGTTTGTCAGTCAAGATGAAAGTCCAGGATCTATTTTTTTCATTATACATTAGAGGATTTCTTGGAAAACCCTTAGTCTATGATCTTTATTTTACTGCTTGCAGAAAAATTTTAAAAATTAACATAAAATGTCTACTGAGAAATGTATTATTATATGGGTTTATGGAATACACACTTTTAACTATTCTAAATTCCAATGAAGACAAACATATTTACATAAAAGTACTTATAAAAGTAATTAGGCATATCTCCATATATTAGTATTAAGTATGCTGCACTATTTCTAAAATGTACCCAGTTCCACCTTACAACTTACATGTTATAAGCTTCCTTCAGTAGGAAATAAAATCAACGCTATAATATTAATCTGTAAAAATCAATATGTAATCATCTAAATGAGAAAATTTCCATAGTATTTAGTGTATTCTGATCTTTTCTGTAGAAGCGTAAATTAGTTTCGGGAGATACATCTATTATTATAAGAGCAATACTAAGTATTTTTGCATTTTTCAATACTGCATAGATTGAAAAAATTAAGTACACAGTATGGAATTATTTGAATGTGGATAGATTTAAATTCATAATAGATTTTCATTATCAACATTCATTCATATATTTTGTATAGTCCAAATGTTGACAACTATGTATAAACATCTCATAATGGACACTACCATACATTATAGTCACCAGCTTATATAAAAGATCCACAAAAAGATGCATATTCTTTGATGATGGATTTTATAAGTGGTCATTATTTTGTATCTGTTGATCTATACATAACGTAGTGTTTTGCAAGAAATTATCATTAATATTTTATTTGACATCAAAATGACTAGTGACATTCAAATTGAATCTCAACTCAAAATAAGTTTCCATTGTTCAATAAATGACCAGCTGTGTTTTACACATACTTTGTAAAAAGTAAAATTTGAATACTTTTAGAAATATTCACCAACAAAGAGACACTCCAATAAGCAGAAAATCTAATTAATCAGAATGCTCTAATTACCAAATATCCTAGTTCTTAGTTTTTACTGCGTGTTGTTCAATTTAGGAAATATTTTTACATTGGTGAGGCTTTTCTTTATACATACATTTGATTCAAATGATCTAGAATCAATAGTACATTCATTACATTCCTTAAAATGTATCATGAAAGACAGACTTGATTTTAAAGTATTAGTTTGGATAAATGCATAAAAATAATGTGCAATTCTCTTCATGGAGCTGTCACTGAATGCTTCACAACTTTCATTTGTCAATCGATTTTCCAATCAGGCAATGTATACAAGACAATGTTTAAACCATCACGCTTCATTGATTTCACAAAGCTGTTTATCAAAACAGAATTGAAAAATCTTTTTCACCAACCAAAACATGTTTAACAAAATTCAGTCCCCTTTGCCAACACTATT